TTGTTATTCAATAAAGGCTTTGTGCAACTGGTTCCTGATGAGGCCGGTTATTACTGGACTGAAGAAGTAGAGTTTTTATTTATTTACAATTTATTTACAATATCATACATAAGATAATACTGCATCAATGTGGTACTCGAATTATCAGCTGCTTTTCAAAAAGAGATTTTGACCCTTAATCCTAGGCGGATCACCGAAGCGGATCCATGTATAGAACCCTCCCCACCCCATCGAAAGAAAACTGAGCCGATAACCGCTCCACCCTTTCCAGTGATGGAGGAATTCACAATTTTGAGACATTTTGGTCTTCATTTTTCGACTATCCGATTATCAAATTCTAGATCCACAGTCAATATTTTAAGTGTCCAGTGCATGGACTCTTCTGATGCCTTTCCGACTTGTAATCCTTTGTTGTAGTTTAAATTTCTCCTTTCTCTTCTTTTGCTTTTTATTACTTTTTCTGAATTGCACTTAGTCATGTAAGTATTAATGGAGACCCTTAATGATCTAACCACTCATGTCGTTATCAGGGTCAAAAAGGGGATTTGACTGCTGCGGTCGAGAGTTTGGTATGGTCATGTTGATCACCAATATCTGCATAAGTTTGCATTCAAGTTCTTTCACGAATATAATAACATCGCGGTTAATTAATGATGGCACAACTTGATTAGTTTTCGCCTCAGATCAACACCGTGCAGCTCTTGTGTAAATTGATGGTAAGACGCTAAAATGGGCCGACGTGGTCATCGATCAAGCTAGGTTACAACCATTTCCGAAGCGGACAATGTGTACGACCCGCGACGTCCGACGCCCTCATCATTGTCGATATCATATACGTCGTCTTAAGATGCTGATCGATGTCGGACTGGTGCTATAATCGGGAGGTATTGATCGGTTTAATACATTTCTTCATTCTGTTGGAAAAGCGTTTCGACAGCGTACGATCCCGTCGACGAAGCAGCGACATGTCAGGTCACCGTCGAAGAAATTGGTGTTGACCTGTGGAGATTGAGAGAAAGGGTGAAAGTTGCGTAATGCTTTGACTATTGATAAATTTATAGATATTTTCTTCTAGAATAGCTTTCTCTAGAAAGTCTGTATACAACCACACGGTTCTCGTCTACAGATGGAGCAATATACACGTATCTCCCAGAGCCATCTACACAGAGTTTGGCCAACCCGGTTCGAGTTGGACACAGTGGCCCGAATTCACAAAACAAGGTTTGAGCTCAGACCAAGGTTTGAGCTCAAACCTCCTTTTGTTTCGCCAAACCTCCTTTTGTTCTTTACAAACCAGGTTTGTAAAAAACGCGTAAAACGCGTCATATGACGTACGAAAACCAAGGTTTGTCGACAAACCTCCTTTGTGAATTCGGGCCAATATGGCGACTACTGCTTTGTTAGGTCAAGCACAAAACAAAATAATATACGCCATGTTGTGACCCAGTGAAACAAAGTTGGCCAAACTCTGTGTATAGATGGCTCTGGTATCGCCGATCGAGAAACCTGAATTACAGGATGAATTCAGGTTGCACATTGAAGTCTACCACATTTGGGCAGTGCACTTTGACTCCATTAAAAAAAACAACGAAAATGACAACATAATTGAATGTGTAAAGGCAATAACGTACTTCGGGGATACACCCAACTCAACCCCCCCCCCCCAAAAAAAAAAATAAATAAATAAATAAAATAAATAAAAGATGGTAACCACAAAAGAAAGGGAGAGGGAAATGAGAGAAAAGACAATGATATGGGGAAAAGAAGTGTTACGACACCCTCCCCTCATTCTGTGACCTCAGTACTATTACTTTCTCCTATTGTATCTGTCAAGATTTTAAATAGAATATTATATATGAAGGACATTTTGTTAAGATTTGGTGTAGTGGCTGACAAGAAGTGTACTGTTTGTAGTAACAATGATGAAACTATCATACATGTTTTTTGCTTTTGTAACTATTCTAATGAAGTATGGTCGAAGTTAGAGTTCTGGATATTTCGTAATACGGGGGAAAGGATCAAATTTACAAATCAAAATAAATTGTTTGGATATTGCGGTAGCAATAATAATGCACTCAACTGTGTTCTGATGGTTGTAAGACAAGAAATATTTTCAGCTAAATTACGAAATCAACTACCATCATTTGATATAATTTTATCAGCTGTAAAACGTTATTATGAAATGGAAAAATATATATACCAAACAAATCTCAGAGAGAATAAACTAAAAAAGAAATGGTTTCACTTTAGAAAATATTTTGAGAGTGTTGGAAATGTGCTAACATAAACATGATCATGTATTTTATGTTTGGTATTTTTTTAAAATTATATATTTAAAGTACTAATTTTGTCATAAATGTTTGTTTTTATCTGCCACAAAAGTTTTTGGCCGTGATGATTATTACCTGTGTCAAGCCATTATGTATGGAAATTATTTCTTTAATTATTTGTATATGATATATGGATGTTCTGTATATGATGAAATTTGTTTTAAAAATAAAAGAACCCTGTGGAAGGGGGAAAAAAAATTTTTAAAAAAAAAAAAGCCAGGGGGCCCGGGCCCGTCGGCCCCCCCCCCGTGGATCCGCGCCTGGGTAGACTTAAGGTCCACTAGACCGAATAGTAGAAAGATCTAAGTTTCGGTAATCGTCAGGGTTTGCAAAATCGGCGCAAGTTGTCGCCGTCGACAATTTGTGCCACAACAAACGTGCGAGTGTTTTTAAAAACCTTTACAGGGACTTTTTATTTAGAATATTGTCCCTCTGCAAAATCTTCTTTCCTTTTTTCAATTTTTATGATGTTGACAATTACAGTGCATTGCGAGGCTGAAATACTATTAACAAAGTTATTTCGTCCATTGATCTAAAATAAAATGGAAAAAAAAAACAAAGACCACATGAGAGAAATGTAATTGAGTTGAACTTATCCAGTTAGTCTTTATTTCTGCAACAAAGGAATGACAAAAAGAAATGAGCAGCTAGAAATCTGTCTTTGTTAATTTGTTTGTTGTTAATAGACTCATGCTCCCTCCAATGTCAAAGACTAGCCGAATTATCAACATCTATTTGAACACTAGATCGATCACTACAGTCATATACACTAAACCTATCGCATACTAAAACCGAAAAAGTCCCTTAACCCCCAATTTAACGAAATAAAGACCCCCTCCCCCTCTCGTTCGTAATAAAAAAAACCGCGCGATTACCGTCACTAGGGCTCTTAGTAATCATATTCCGAGAAAAATAAACGACCTCTTACACGTTACGGCAGTTTTTAAAGTTTATGTCTCACAAAACAAATATTTATCTTTGTTGATGTCAACATTACATCTTTATAATCACTATATTTAATTCATTCAAGGTTTCTTCACTTTATACTCTCTGATGTAATATTAATTTGCCAATTTCGCTTAATTCAGGAACATCACCTTGTTTAACCAATATTGAAACTTAGCTTTAATATCTTATCTTTTATCGTATTTTATCTGTATAAACATCTAAATATTAATTAAATATTATATTGGCCTTGCATGGAGGTCTAATCCCATCTGGCCAAACTAGTACAGATGGGCTTTAAAATTTAGATAATTGGAATAGGCCTAGTCATTCGTCTAAAAAAAAATAAAAAATTCCGTATCTGCAATTACATATTTACCACACAAAAACAAATGCATAATGAAATCAGTTTCATGAACGAAAACAAAAATTGGAAATCTTTGATAAAACTATATACACAAAGAAAGGATATCAGTCTTGCGATAACAGTACAGTTTTGTTTTATGCCCTTACTGTAAAAACAAATCTTTAACAAAAATCACCACTTTCTTATCATGTGTCCGATTTCGGCAAAACACTTAACTTAATTATAAACTCTTGTCTCTTTTTGTTTTTGCGTTTTATAAAATCTAATCTATCTATTGTTTTAATTCATTATACGAGCAATAGCCAAATCAAAATTTTGAAGAAGAAAGGGTGTCTTGTTTTAAATGCTTTCTACTAAAAATGTGATAATATAAAAGTGACTTTCTCATCAAACTTTAGATATTTATGTACATAAGCAGGCTAACATGATTTAAAAAAAAAACTATTTACTACAACATTATCAAGCAACCATTTTTCAATGGCAGTATCAGCATTTATAAACATCATAAGCCTGAACATTTTTCAGCTCATTTTATATATGAAAGACTAACATCAATGCATCACGTGTGAAAATTGAAATGATTGTCACCATTACCTTTTTTCCACAGGACTTTTAAAATGAAATATACATGTATTTTTTACAATGATTTACATTCGCACTATCATACTAATTACACTTTGAGAAAATGGCTGGTAATTGATATCACTTTGATATTATTAAAGGCGCATGATGCTCCTTGGTTGTATTTACAGACTCTTAAAGTATAGAATGATAGATCTTCAAGTTAAAGAAGAAAAAAACCCACAAATGTTATTTGTTCTTTGAAAGAGATATCACCTCTTCTGATGATTACCAGAATCGCTAATCGAAGTTGCATTTGAGCGTAGTAATAATTGTGAAATGTTATATGAATAAATTTGCATGTGAGTAAGTAACGTAAAAATTGGCGACTGGTCACCGATTATATCTGAAATGTTGAAGGTAAAACGGGCTAAGATTTGATTGTATTCATAAAAGAAACATACTGTTTACCTGTTATAACCATTACCCTATTAAACCTTTTCCATATCCTGAACATGCATTGGATTTTATCTCCATTAAAACCAGGGGGTGTTTCACAAAGATCCTAAGTCAAACTTAACTCTAAGTTGGACTGAAATATTATGGATAGCCATTTGTAGCCTTAAAATAAAATATATTCAAAAGCAGAAGCTCAAGTATTTTAGACTTTTTTATAAATTCCACATCAAGAACATGAAATCTCCTCGATAATAAAAAATAAAAAATAACTTTTACAAATGTTTTCATAGATGCTAACGGCTTTCCATAAATGTTAAGTCCAACTTAGAGATAAGTTCTACTTAGGATCTTTGTGAAACACCCCCCAGGTATTCTTATTCATCCCCCTAAACATCCTCCTCCTTATCGTCATCCTGGTCTTGGCCGTTGACGTCTTCGTCATCTAATATATCCCAATCTTCCGCCGAGTAGACACGAATCACATCCCCCGTGTGCATGATCACGAGGTCGTTACCATAGTTACCAATGACTGGCCACTCGTCTGACTGAAAGTCTGCTGACATGTCGAGCTCGTCAACGATGTACTCGAGGGGACCACCACACTCCAAGGAATGCTTGGTGAGCGTGACGATGTGGCTGCCCCAGAAGGCAGACAGAACGTAGAGGGCGTCACTCTCTGTGCAGGAGATGGACAAGTACATCCTGCCAGGCTCCTTGATTTCATGCTGGACTCCCCCGTCTTTGTCAGTGATGATGACGGCTTTCTTGTCCCCGCGCAGGAACACCAGCTGACCTGTCTTCGCCGCAGCAAGACTTCTAACCCTATCAAGTGGAACCTCGAAATTATCTGAAGATAACTGAGACCCTTGGTTTACAGGCGTAGGTGTACTTGGAAATACAAATGTGGAACTAGAGGAGCTTATCTTAGGTTTTTCCCTATAGATTTTCGTGGATATTGTGAAGATGTCTGATCCTGCATTTGGAATTTCCGGTCTTGTTTCCTTTCCTTTCGAATCCGAAGGAGAGAGGGTGCCTTCTGCCTTGCTTGGAGACTTGGCACTGCCGAAAGCAGATACTGTAAGAATAAAACAAGATGAAATAAAAGGCATGAATTGCAACAGCTGAAAGAATTACAGACCGTTGTCTGATATTACTGATCACTTTTAAAATTTTATACAATTTAGTTCTTCAACTCATCAAAATATTCAGACACTATATTATTTAGTAATTTGGGGCATCGCAATGAAAAAGCTTTGACGAAAACTTGATATAATTATGAGTTATACCTGTCAAACCTGTCTATAGCGACCGCCCAAGGGAAACACAAAAAGTGGCCTTTGAAGACAGGTGGTCTTTGTAGACAGGTTCCTTCAGTACATGATTCAATGAGAAACCATTTTCAGGGGAAACAAGAAATGTGACCTTTGTAGAGTGGTCACTAAAGCAGGTTTGACTGTACATTACGTAGTACACATTACGTGCTATGCATCCACCCATAAACAGATGGGTGGGTCGGCTTGTCCCAACACTTTAGAGGGGCCTTAAAATTCTCGTTATGATTATTATTGCGTTTTTACGTAAAAGAGGAAAATGTCTTCACTCACGATGAAGGCAATCTTTAGTACTTGTTATGGCAGGGGGTGGGGGGGGGCACATGAAATAGTATCCATTATATGGCAATGTGAGAGGATTTTATATCGCTTGAAAATAACATTTACATCACTTGACTTAAAGTGTTCAATATTTACTTGTCTGAGAGTTGGAGGTTGTGCCAGTGAAGGAGGGTTGCTGTTGAGGCAATGTCATACCAAAGGTAAATCCACCACCAGCCGCTGCCATTGGTCTCTTATTTGAGTCGCCTTCGACAACCGGAGATGATGTCGTTTTTTTCCGTTTGGTTTCGCTGACCGGTTCGGACCCTGAGGAGGTTGCCTGACTTGAACTTGATATGGCTGGCTTGTTATCGGCAACGACGATGAGGGACTTGGAATCAACAGTGATTCTTGCACTGGGATTCAAAGGACACGGTGTGTCCGCTGTGTGTTCAATAGATGTTGGGAACTCATCCAGTTTCAATCTGTAGAGTTGCGTGCAAGCTGCGTCGGTATCAGCAATGAAAGAGAAGGCTTGGTCCTTTATTGATATGGCCACATCTACCACCTGTTTTATGCTTGCATTAAAATGAAGCTTCATCCAAGTGGACGGGGTGGCTTCGTTAGACAACAGTTTCTTGTAAATCACCTTCTTGCAAGCAACGTACATTGCCTTTCCATCGGAGACAATGTTTACAATGTCTTTATCACGAATTGGAAACATCTGAGTCTCTCGCCAAATACGCGACAACGACAGCTTGGCAAAGCGCGCCATTTGCTCTGGCATCTTCGATCCTTCTATCATGGTAGATTTCAAAGCCACGAGATCCATAGAAATTGTCATAGTGACATCTGACGCGATCAATTCTTCGAGTTCTTTGAGAACATCTTCAGGTAAGAAGGGACCTCTAGATATGTCAGTAACCTCTTTTGCCGAAACAACCTCTTTAGCCTTTGATTGCGCCCTCGTGAGATTTTCTTTTGTTGTGTTCATGTTGTCTCTGAAAGCTTGTAGTTTGACGTTAAGCTTTTCCTCCAGCACGTTAACCTTCTGCAAAAGTTCTTCCTCTGCTTTATCCAAATTTTTAACAGCCGTTAATTTCTGGTCCCGAATAGTTTCTTTCATCTTATGAAACTTCTGGTTTGCTCCTGTTTCTCGTACATCCACATCATTTAACATTGTGCTCACATGTTCCTCCTTTTCCTCACAGCTTTTCAAACGATCTTGTAACTTCTCCTTTGTTTCCTGAAACATCTTCTGCACTGTGGTGCAGTCATGGTCAGGTTTGGTATGGTCGAGAACGATACAGTCCCTGCAGATACGTTTCTTGCAGGTTCTGCAGTAGAACCTCCGCAGCTCACCGCCATGCTCTTCGCATTCGTGCGCCTTTCTCCACAAGCCCTCTTCCATCCACTTTATTTTGATAGTCCCGTTCTCAATCTTGTCCAGGGGAACTGTACGGTGATCTTTCATCAAGAGTTTCATTTTAGCATGGGAAGAAGCACAGGAGTCACAAATGAAATGGAGACAGTCTCGGCAGTAGGTCGTCAGAGGTGATTCGCTGTCCCCACACGCGTCACACATTATTTGGGTCGAATTTTTCTTTGCCTCAAGAACTTCGAGAACCCGGTAAATCAGCGGATTGGACTTCAGACCTGCCACACCTTCTCTCGGAAGAGAAGTCACCTCTCTGCACATAGGGCATTTTATACCACCTGAACAGCCTTGTGATGCCTTATCGCACTGCTTTAAACATTCTTCGCAGAAAGTATGCCTGCATGAGAGAGATTTGGGGTTCTTTAAAGTGTTCATGCAAACGGCACAGACAAGTTCACGGACGAGTTTTTCCACAGCTTTCGCCGCCATTTTCTGTAGAATTTCTATATTTCAACAGTCCACGATAAAGCGTGCTAACTGGTCAACACACAATTATCAAATGTAACGCCGGAAGAGAATGATTACTCCTGTCGAATGCAATATCTGATCAATGACGATAACGCGTTCCATGTATTACTACTGACGAAACGTACGGTGGGAATCCCCGTCGCTAATATTAAACATCAGAATCAAAGAAATTTCTACAATGCTAATATTAAACGTTGGAATTCCCCACTCCCTTTTTAGGATCGAGGTTGGATATAAAAACAAATGAGTGCGCTGTTTTTTTTTCTCTTCAAGATTTTAGCTTTGTTATTTCAATTATATGAACATACAAGTTTTCCTTGTATTTGATAGAACAAATTATGTGAAAAATAGGGTAAAAGCCTATTTATCCTTTAAAAAAAAAAACACTAAATTTACAGTAAAATCACCCCCGTGATCTGTTTATACAGTGATGCCTACAGTCATGATGAATTTACAAATTACTTTGACTTCGGAAGAAAATATCAATTTGTTTTTACCGAACTTAATGTTAGCTTGAATTTGTTACCCCTTTGGGAGTAGGTCCTTATCTGTCTTCCTATGTTAAATGGTTTTGCTGCAAATACATTTGAGCTCTCTTTCTTCCTTCTCTTAACCTAGACCGACGTACAGTATCTTATAGGATTTAAAACAGTAGTTGCGGGGACACGGGGATCGTACCCCACCCCCGTCCTCTCGAAAGGAGAAACATAGAGGGAAGAGAGAGGGGAGAGATGAAAGAAAAGGAAACAGGACTTGAGACAATATTATCATGACCATTATGTGAGCTGTTTGCTTTGGAAATTGACACAACTTTAAGAAAATTGATATAATCTATGTGATACTCTACTGCCCGGCATCAGTATCACTGGCTTAAAATCTTGTATACATAACTTGTATAGTGAGGTAAAAATAGAGTGTATATTTTGCCAGTTCTGTGCAGATGTCATTTTTGCTTGTTTCACGTGTCAAATGTATTATATTGCTATATCAGACTGATTCATTTACACATATGCATTTATAATTTCTAACCATGTATGATACACTGTATACTGTTTCTTACAGTTGTCCTTGATTTAACTGCATGACGATATTAACACCAGGTAACTGTGACCTGCATTTATGCATTCAATGTATAAACCATTTTCACATTGATACCACTGCGCCTGTGTGATTCATTCAAGCATTCATATTGTACAAATGTTTGTTACTGTTGTCATGGTTGTAAATGAGATGCAATTTGTGAGTAAATCCTTTTAAAAAATTGTAATCCACCCCACACGTTCATCAGAACATGGACCTATTACGGATGGACATTCATCGTTTTCTTAACGAATTCATTGTGATTGTGTCCGTCAATGTCGTCTCAATAACATTCCCTACATGTTTCTTCACGTTGATCTCATGATGGTCACCGCCAAAAAGCCGGGACAGATTCAAGATAGTGATTTTACACATGTTAATCTACATGCGCAGAAGATAATAACTCGCTTAAATCATGGAAAATCGATGTGCAGTTCTGCTTTATAATCAGAAATTCGTCCTTGTTTTCACGAAGTGACGGTAGTGAGGAAAATCGTAACGCAAAGTGAATGCAATTTTTTTTCACTACCGTCACTTCGTGAAAACAGCGACGAATTGTTGTTCCGTGTACTGTATTTTATTTGAAAAACGTGTTGATATTACCAGATAGAGGTTATATTTGAATTGGTTGTGAGTTAAAATCCCGTTTCCCCCAATTTCCTCATAATATTCCAGAGTTATAACGCACAGGGCTTATAAAGATCATGGCCTTCTAATTGTTTTATAAGGTCATGGGTGTGCGCGAAAGTGTGCAAATCAGTAATAATACATTTTATATCACCAAAATCGTCTGCTTTTCAACTTTGCTGCTTCCCATTGGGGATGTTTTTATTTAAGACACACTCTTACAGAGCACACCATCCAAACAAAACCCAAGAGAGGGAAACTGCTCCCTTGTCAATGACCGAAAATGCTTACGCAGTCATTATTGTTAAAACAGCTGAATGTTCTCATTAAGATGCACATAATTGAAAAAAGGCTTTGTGAAATGCCCCCTGCTCTGCTTTTTCATTTTTGTTATCCCATCCAACAGGAATCGACACAATAGGCTATTTTCGTAATGTAACCAAATGTAATGCATAAGTCTTTGTGAAGTGCCTCAATACAAATTATATCATTCACCAGATAAGAATAATAGTATTTCAATAGACAGAATTCGAACTGCATACATTAGTTGTTGCCACGTAGGACAAACATTATGGCTTGAACTATCTAGCAACACTTAATATATGCAGTTTGCATTCTGTCTATTGAAATACTATTATTCTTATCAGGTGAATGAAATAATGTGTATTAAGGCACTTCACAAAAACTTATGCATTAAATTTGGTTACATTACGAAAATGGCCTATTTTAAGAAAGTTTAAAATCCTACTCGCTATTTAACTTTACTACAAGGCAGCAGGTATCATCAGCAACATGATGAACTAAAATGAAATGTATGCAATGCACAAAAAAACATGCACCCTCATTCGTTTTTATATCCAACCTCCTTAATATAACAAGGAGTGGGGAATTCCAACATTCAATACTAGCATTGGAGAAACTAATTTGATTCTGATATCTAATATTGTCAATGGGGATTCCACCGCAAGAGGGCGGAATATTTGGAACATTGATTGAAATTATCATCATCATCATCATCATCATCATCGTCATCATCAACATCATCATTATCATCAACAACATCATCATCATCATCATCATCATCATCATCATCATTATCATCATCAACATCATCATCATCATCATCACCATCCTCATCATCGCCATCATCAACATCATCATCATCATCATCATCGCCATCATCATCATCATCATCAACATCATCATCGTCAACATCGTCATCATCACAAGGACCACTATCATTATAACCATTAATATACCATCTTGATTAAACAGGCGTAAACTAATCTTCAAGATATTGATACATTCCTACTTTTCTTTAATATCATCCCTTCACCCCTCTTCATTCCCCTGTCTTTTCCTTCTCTCTCTCTCTCTCTCTTTCCTTTTCCGCCACAACTATACCACTTTCTCAACACCCCAAATCCGAATTACGGTTATCATTTATTATAAATATATTGTTATGCAATTTTATCTCGAGCAATGACAATCCTGGAGTTTGTACCCGTTTATGCATTTTCTTTATTCACAAACTATATACATTCATAATTATACAGAACTGAAAACGCAAATACAATTTGCAACACAATATATATACACAGACAAGAAAACGATCATAATGCAAAATGCAATCGGCCTACTTCACGAGAACACTTTTCGAATATTCTGGTAAATAATTCCATGTACATCCAACTCGTAAATGAACTATTCATAAAAATCAATTTGAGGGCAGCACTGATTTCCACAGATCTCCAGACAGTCATTAAAAACAATTACACCGAGTAAAGATAATTGAGTCAGTAAAGATAGATAATTTTGACTTTTCCTGTCCGAATCCAGCGAGTCTGAAAATAATATACCTGAGCGGCCAGGGCCCCATTTCACAAAACTTATCATCTGTGACAAATGACAGTTTTTTATGAGCTAGTGAAATCCTTGCTTCTGATTGGACATCAGTAGATTTGTCACTGTTTTTTATCATTTTTTATTCAAAAAAGGCTTTGTGAAACGGGTTCCTGATGAGGCCGGTTATTACTGGAAGAAGTAGAGTTTTTATTTATTTACAATTTATTTACAATATCATACATAAGATAATACTGCATCAATGTGGTACTCGAATTATCAGCTGCTTTTCAAAAAGAGATTTTGACCCTTAATCCTAGGCGGATCACCGAAGCGGATCCATGTATAGAACCCCCCCCCCCCCCCCCCCTCCTCCCCACGTACCCCATCGAAAGAAAACTGAGCCGATAACCGCTCCACCCTTTCCAGTGATGGAGGAATTCACAATTTTGAGACATTTTGGTCTTCATTTTTCGACTATCCGATTATCAAATTCTAGATCCACAGTCAATATTTTAAGTGTCCAGTGCATGGACTCTTCTGATCCCTTTCCGACTTGTAATCCTTTGTTGTAGTTTAAATTTCTCCTTTCTCTTCTTTTGCTTTTTATTACTTTTTCTGAATTGCACTTAGTCATGTATTAATGGAGACCCTTAATGATCTAACCACTCATGTCGTTATCAGGGTCAAAAAGGAGATTTGACTGCTGCGGTCGAGAGTTAGGTATGGTCATGTTGATCACCAATATCTGCATAAGTTTGCATTCAAGTTCTTTCACGAATATAATAACATCGCGGTTAATTAATGATGGCACAACTTGATTAGTTTTCGCCTCAGATATCAACACCGTGCAGCTCTTGTGTAAATTGATGGTAAGACGCTAAAATGGGCCGACGTGGTCATCGATCAAGCTAGGTTACAACCATTTCCGAAGCGGACAACGTGTACGACCGCACCCGCGACGTCCGACGCCCTCATCATTGTCGATATCATATACGTCGTCTTAAGATGCTGATCGATGTCGGACTGGTGCTATAATCGGGAGGTATTGATCGGTTTAATACATTTCTTCATTCTGTTGGAAAAGCGTTTCGACATCGTACGATCCCGTCGACGAAGCAGCGACATGTCAGGTCACCGTCGAAGAAATTGGTATTGACCTGTGGAGATTGAGAGAAAGGGTGAAAGTTGCGTAATGCTTTGACTATTGATAAATTTATAGATATTTTCTTCTAGACTAGCTTTCTCTAGAAAGTCTGTATACAACCACACGGTTCTCATCTACAGATGGAGCAATATACACGTATCTCCCAGAGCCATCTACACAGAGTTTGGCCAACCCGGTTCGAGTTGGACACAGTGGCCCGAATTCACAAAACAAGGTTTGAGCTCAGACCAAGGTTTGAGCTCAAACCTCCTTTTGTTTCGCCAAACCTCCTTTTGTTCTTTACAAACCAGGT